CAGTGGTTAAGTATATGATATCATTCATGGCTTATGTAGTGTTAAATTCATTTTGAAAGTTAGGGCCGGGGAGATAGCTCAGTAGAATAAGCACATGCCTGGCAAGCGCAGGGTCCTGAGTTCAATCCCCAGTACCAAAAAAAAAAAAAAAAGTGAACTTTCTGTTTGTGCTGGGGAGATAGCTCAAGGGCCTGAGTTCAATCCCTGGTTCAAAAAAACAGAAAAAAAGTATGGTAAGTTGAAAGGTGAAATTTTTCATTTTTAAGTGTTATTATAATGTAAGTTTTAATGATGAAGACCATTATAGTAAAAGCAATTTTTATAATACATCAACAGTTAAAATATTTACTTGTCGTATGTTGTATTCAGACATAAATCATAATGGCATTCAAAAAACTGAGATATCTTATTAAAATTGAATTTAAAGCCATGGTTTTTGGCTTAAAAAATGTGTATAACACATAAATATAGAATAACTGAATTACAAAATGCTTCAAGCATTTAAATAATTGATTTGTAAATCAACCAAAAATGCTACAATAGTTTTGAATGTTTTATAAAGGAATCCTGAACATTTTATTCAGTATCAGTTAGAAATGTAAAAGCAATGTGTTCATCACATGGAGTGTATATGTAGTTGTAAAGTCAAAATATTCTCTTAATATCACTATACAGTAAGTGTCAAGACCATATTACAAAATAGGACATATGATATGACTTTAGTCTATATGTATTTTATATATGCAGTAGCAGTGCCAAGGGGAATTATGAAGGGAATTATCCCTTTAACAGTTTTTACCAGCTCCTTAAGTTGATGTAAACAATACTTTAACCAGTCTCATGTAACTATTCTAATATAGTTTTACCCTTACCAAGTTACACTCTTAGGTCTTTTAAAGAAATTCTGTAGTTGTCACTGTTTGCATATTATTGGATATGGAAAGATAGCAAAATATCTGGGTGTATAGGTTTTAAAATGGCAAAAAGTTATTTCTTTTAGATTTTAAAGTTTATTTTCTTTTCTCTTTGCTGATTTAGTTTTCCTATAATAAACCTAAGTTGCTTTTGTGATAAAAATTGTAATTAACCCCTCTAACTTACACAATAAAACAAATGGAATTGGGGAGATTTTTTTTTTTTAATTGCTTCATTGATTTGGAGAAAGGCAAGGTATCAGGCAAGGTAAAAGACTCTAAAGGACAAGAATTATACCCTCTTAGCAAGCTCTATTTTATCCTTAATGTTAAACAGATGTAATTACCTCCTTCTACATAAAACGTTCAGTACTGACATCATTTTCTATTTTATCACAAAGCAAATAACTATTTTATCTTAAAGTGAAAATGACATCAGTATTTTACCTGAAAAAGGAAATAGTATATAAATCTCAGCACTCTGAGAGGCTGAAGAAAGAGGATCACAAGTTACAGCCTAATGTGAGCAAGTTAGTGATTAGTGAGATACTGCCTCAAAACCTAAAGGAAGGAAATGAGGGAAGAATGGGTGGGGATATGGCTCAGGACACGTGTGTTCCCTTTTAAAAAGATTCTGGGTCAAAACAAAGTACAAGGAGGAGAAGGGTTCTCTACTTCAGTGAAAACCTTTCAGTCACAGTCTGAAGGGAGGTGAGTCCTGTGCCATCATGGCTGCAGGCACCAGGGCCTGCCTGCACCGGCTGTACTTGGGCTCCTTGATCACACCCTTGCTGAGGTCTGTCATTTTGGGATATTTTACTTTCTTTAGGTCCAGCTCATTCTGAGCCCAAAGTAGAAGTTTCAGTAATTTTGCCAGCTTGAGTGTTGATTCACGATTCTCATAATCTTGAACAGCTTGGTTAATTTCACACCTTTTTCCTCTGCATCATATGGAGAAGGTCTCCAAAGGGTGACTCTTTGGGGCTGTGAAAGGCCAGCAGAACCAGTGTGTGCTTCATCTCTGAGAAGCACTCTCTGCTTTCCTCACACTGCTCCACCGTGTCTGGGCAAACTCCAGCGCCACCTCAAGTCTCATGCTGTTGGATCATCTCAATCAAATGCTGTTGCTGCAGATGAAAGTAAAGATACTAGGTTGTGTCCAAGAGCTCTGTGTGGAGGCTGTTGACCAAGGCAGTGGCCTCCTGAATCTTACTCTTCAGGATCATCTCTCAAATCTTGATCCATTCATCAAGTGTTTCTAGATCCACACTTAGTTCAGTTCCAGATTCTATTCGAAATTTTTCTGCATCTTCCTTAAAGCCTTGTTAAGCTTTTCTATATAACTCATTCTGATTTATTTTGTGCCAGTCGCGCCTCCCATGAGACACTTTGTGGGCAGTGGGAACTCCGCTGGACACTCCCAGGGCCTGGGAAGGGTGGCGGCAGTAGGCACCAAGCAGAAGGAGCCATGACATATTTCTGCTGCAATTGTAAATGGATTTTTTTTTCCTGATTCTTTCTCAGTGAGTTTATTATTGATGTATAGAAAAGCTATAGAATTATGTTGGTTTTGCATGCTGCTATTTAATTGAATTTATGAAATGTAAACTTTTTGTGTTATCCTTAGACTCTAAGTATAGAACCATGTTATCTACCAATAATGATAATTTGACTCCTTTCTTTCCTATGTATTCCTTTTGTGTCTTTTGCCTAATTACTGCTTCTAAAATGTCACGTACTACAGTGAATAGGAGTGGTGAGACTATTCATTCTTGTCTCATCCTGATTTTAGAGAAAATGTTTTGGTTTTGCCCTATTCAGTATGATGAGTTTGTTATATATAGCCTGTATTGTGTTGAGGTATGAATCTTCTGTGTTTAGTTTTTTCAGGGTTTTTAATATGAAGGGATGTTGAATTTTGTCAAAGGCTTTTTCTGTAGCTGTTGAGACAGTCGTATGACTTTTAATCCTTGATTATACTTACGTAGTATATTTATCAGTGTATCTCTGGAGTTAAAGCATGATCATTTTGGTATGTTGTTGAAATTACTTTGCAAGTATTACTTTTAATAATAAATTGCTTGCGTTAGCATTTACCTAATAAAGTTTTATTGTTTCTGTCATTAAAGAAGAAAGAATTCTTGCATCTATATTCATAAAAGATATTCATCTGTAGTGTTCCTGCACTCTGTTGTTCAGCTTTATATGATTTTGGTATCAAAATGAATGATACTGTCCATAAAATAAATTTGGAAATGTTCCTTCCCTTTCTATTTCATAGGATAGTTTGAAAAGCATATATATTTGCAATTGTTCTGTTTTTGTTTGTGGATGTTCCCTTTGCCATGTCATGTACAGTGACCTTTTTGTCTCTTCTAATCTTGACTTGAAGTCAACTTTGTCAGAGGTGAATATAACTACTTCTTGCTTTCAGGTTCCATGTTCATGAACTATCATTTTCTATCATTTAACTTTCAGATTGTGTATATCTTTGCTAGTAATGTTTCTTCGTGCAGACAGCAAAGAATTGAGTCTTGTTTTTTAATCCTGTTTACCAATTTGTCTTGTAGTTGTAGAGTTAAGACCATTTATATTGAGTTATTGTTGAAAGATACTACTAATTTCTATATTTTTGTTTATATCCTGTATCTTTCCTAATTAACTCTTACCTGCTCATGTGCAGAATGTTGGAGAGCGAGTGTGTGTTTCTTTTAAATATTTTCTTCAGTGCTGATTTAGTGTCATAAATCCTTTTGTTTAGACTTACTGTAGGAGGTATATATTGCTTCTGTTCTGGAAAATATCTTTGCTCTATATAGTTACCTCACTTGACAGTTTTTTTTTGTTTTGTTTTGTTTTCAGGGCTTGAAATACATTATTCCTATTGGCCTTTAGATTCTTATGCTGAGAAATTTGCAGTGGGTTGCCTTTATACACATGTATAAATATTGTATAGTCTCCCTAGTATAAGAACTCAAAAGAAGAAATACAAATAGAAAGGTATAACACAATTAAAAGGAAAGTGAGAACTTGAGGATTAGACAACAAGGAGAGAGGGCAAGGAGAAAAGCTGGGAAACAGGACAGGGACAAAGCCATACATTTATATGCACAAGATGGGCAAGGCAATGATCCTGAGAAACATCAGCAGGTTTTTGAAACTAGCAGTTATTTGGTAGGACTCTCATCCTGACTAACTATACATGCTGACACCTGTGAACCAAGCAACTGCACTGAAGATAGCAATGTGTAATAGAAGGGTCACACTTGGAATACCTGTCATTCTGGTCTTCTAGATACATACTTCTTGTCATGACATACCAATTATTACCATATTGTCTCACAAGTAAAAGTTGTTGTTTTTTTTAAAATGGGTAATAAATGAAAAAAAGACACAAGGAAAAGAAAAAAAAATAAATGGCTTATTTTCTGGGGTTTTTGAGGGGTTGCAACTTTTTATATTCTTTCCTTGTTCTGTACTTGTGATATTTTAACTATAATGTGACATGGGAAAGTTTTTTTCTAGTCTTAGCTCTTTAGGGGTTCTAAAAATCTTCTGTACCTAAATGTTTCCCCAAATCTTAAAAATTTTATTCTTTCATTTCACTGAATAGATTTTCTGTAGCTTTAACCTCTTTGTTGGTGCCTTCTTCTATACTGGAAATTCATCATTTTTGTCTGTTAACCCTGTGTTCCAAACTTCTTGGATGTTTTGCTTGTAATTTTTTTTTAAATCTTGTTTACCACCTGAGAGTGATAATTGTCCAAGGCCCGAATTTGTCTTCTGCTTGATCCAGTCTACTCTTGAAGCTTTCATTGAATTTTTTATTTGACTTACTGAGATCCTCATTTCCAAGCTTTTTGATTGGTTCTTTTTCAGACTCTATTTTGAATTGGTCTTTCATGTCCTACAGTATCTCCCTTTATTCACTTGGCTATTTTTATTTCTTGTCCCACATCCAGAAGAAATCTGACTTAAGATATATGTTAAACCAGCCCACATGTTTTAGAACTAGAAACTAGATTAAAACCATGGACATTTTGTAAATTTCTAATCTAATTATCTCTTTATTATTTCATATTACAGGAAAGTTAAAGGAGGTAATATTGATGTACATCCATCAGAAAAAGCACTTATTGTTCAATATGAAGTGGAAGCTACTATTCTTGGAGAAATGGGTGATCCCATGTTGGGAGAAAGAAAGGAATGCCAAAAAATGTAAGTTTTTTATTTGTATACATTTTGAAAGTATTGAATCTTAACTCACCTTGTACAAATCTGTTATTTTGATTTTTATGTATGTTATAGTATTCTTCATAATATACTTCATCTCAGTGGAAGATTATATTGAACTATGACTATGGGCCAGCCAAATAGCTCAGTGGATTAAAACACCTGCAAGCAGGCGCAGGGGCTGGGGGTTTGATCCCTGGGCCTGCCTTGTGGGCCCTGCCCCCGGCGTGCACTGAGAGGACAATTGAGACTCGGCGTGGTGGCACACACCTGTAATCCCAGCTGTTGGGAGTCTGTAAAGAGGCAGATCACTACGAGTTGGATCAGGTAGTGAGACCCTGAACACCCTGTAGACCCTTCCCTAAAAACACAAAATAAAAAAAGGAACTATAACTATGGAGTATTCCAGAGAAAATAAGATTTTTGTGATTATTAACTTGTGAGATCAATTATAAAAAGATGTTTATATGGGTCTTTTTAGTTTAAGAAGTTGAGATCTCAGGTAATCCCGTGTTCTTCTCTCGAACTGCAGAAACTAGCATGATTTTTCAGAAATTTCCAATAGGGCCCAGATCTTGAATTCACACCTTGAAAAAATAGACTTCTGAATATTGTTAGCAATAATACTTTTCTGACTGAAGGTATTGGTCTTAGATCTCCCTATGTCCTGCATACTTACATTCCCACTTTTGCCAGGATACCTTGGGAAATGGCCTTTTTCATTAGCTCAAAGTGGTAGTAGTGACTTACTTTTTCTCCACTGTCCTGTGGAACTAGAAGTTTGAGATTCCCTTGTTTTTCGATCCTCCTTGTTCGATAAAATATGATGACTTAGTAACTAGTTAGAAATTCTGGAATTTCTGTTATGGAATTAACATATTTGAAGTGTAGGAATACATGTAATGTTTAGCATACTGAAAACCACTTTAAGTATATAATAATTGTTAACTGAGAGTGATTTTTCTTCACACAGGGGACATTTGGCAATGCATGGAGATACTTTTAGTTTTCTTAATCAGAAGCAGTACTATTGGCAGCTAATAAGTAGAGGCCAGGTGTTGCTATCATGCTGTAATGACAAGATAGCCACCTACACACAGAATTGCTTAGACCTACCTTCAGTAGTGCTGCAGTTACAAAGCCTCAAGTATCTTACTAAAAGCTCTTAATTAGTTATCTAAGTTAGAAGGAAGCTAGTATGTATCATCAGTTACTTAAAGATAAATGAGTACTCTAGATTTTATAGATTTTTATAATAGATTGGGAGACATACGCATGCATACACATAGCTATAAAATTCTAGCTCACACTTTTTTTATTCTGCTTTTGTGTTACCCTTGCTTGCCGAAGTTTTATACATTTTGAGAACACATGAAAATCTCTTGAGGCCTCATAATTGACTTCCAAAGAAAAGCAAGCACACTAGATTATTTGCTTTAAAACCTTATATAGCCATACTTCAAGAGAGATATATTTAAGGATATAAGCACTGGCTTTGTTCACCTGTAATTCAGTGAGGAAATATTACTTTAGAATCTGCCCACCTTTTAGGTAGAGTTACAGTCTGTAGAAAGTTAGCTACATGGTAAGAGTTACTGTCAGCTGTGGTAGGTATAAGCACATTTAAATCTTGGAATCGTTAACACCTTAGTCACTCAACTTTGTGTTGACTATGCAAGATTTAGAACCAAATCATATTGTGGAATCAAAAGAAAAATGTGGTTTTATGACTCATAGGTTTTTATCAGTGGTCAGAAAGAGGAATATAATGTAGATTCAGACAGGTATGAGTGACTGTCATTAAATCTGAGAAGTTCATGGTACTGCGTAGACACAGGCTTATGAACCATTTTCTAGTATTAAAGGAATGTGAAAGCATATCGTCAAGAGTTTTCAGTTTCCTGAAGATTTCTTTATGAGAAACTGATGATTGTGGTCCAAAAATAACGTAGGTTCTATTTTGTGAGTTTTCAGTAGTAATAGTAGTTTCAGTTTTCATCGTGCCTAAATAGACGTGATGTGCCCAAAGAGCCTGTGTATTTATTATTAGGTTAACTTAGTAAACACTTAGCTGACATTTTCTGGAAAGAGTTTTTCCCTATTTCTCTCTTTTTTTTTTTAATAAATGAAAGATTTTAAAAAGAAAATACACTAAAAACAGAAAATCTGTCTACTATTTTGAATAGAAAGAATGCATCAGATTGATAACTTATATGTTACTTACAGAAAACAGATCTAAAAGAAATTTAAAAGCCTATTTGTATTAAACCAACACCCCTATTAGAATGGCTAACATCTAAAACACTGACATTAACAAATATTGGTATGGATGTGGAAGAATAATAAGTCTCCTTTATAGTTGGTGGGAATTTAAAATAGCATACAATTTAGAAGAAAATTTTGTAGTTTCTTATAAAACTAAACATAGCCAAACAATACAGTTAAGCGATTATGCTCCTAGATATTTACTCAGATACATTGAGAGCTTAAATCCACAAAAGAACTTTACTTTGACTATAGCTTTCTTCATAATTGACAATTGAAAGCAACAGAGATATAATTTAATATTGAATGGATAGACAAAATGTGGTACATTCATATAATCATGTATTATTTAATAATAAAAAGTGAACTATCATCTTATAAAAAAGACATGGAGGAGGCTGAGCATGGTGATGCATGCCTATAATCCCAGCATTTGGGAGCGTGAGGAAGGAATATCAATGTGAGTTTGAGGCCAGCCTGGGCTACAAGGGTGAGTTCAAGGACAACCTGAATTGCATAGTGAAACACTGTCTCAAAAAATAAAAAAAAGTCATGGAGGAACCTAAATGCATATTAGTCTTTGAAAGCTCTACACTCCGATTTTACTTACATGGTATTCCACGAAAAATAACACTATTGTCTTAGTTACTCTTCTCTCATTGCTGGAACAAATACCTGACACTCAAAATGAAGGAAGGAAAGGTTTATTTAGCTCACAGTTACTGGAGGTTTCAGTCCATACTCAGCTGGGTCCAACGCAGAGCAGAACAGAGCAAAAAGCAACCTTTCATGGTGGTGGCAAAGAGCAAGAGTGCAAGAGAGGGGTAGCAGCAGCTCAAGCAGCTAGCTTCTCTTCCCACCTTACATTGTAATGCAAATTAC